TCTGGATTTTTAAGATTTTTGATATTTTCAAAAATGTGTTACCTTATTTTATGAATTATTTTTATCTGAGATCCCTAATGCTAATCTGACTTATATTTCAAATTCTTTCTGTAGAGTCTTATATATCCAACGATGAGCGCTACTAAAGGTCATAGGACAGGACATGGCCATGGTCGAGGGCGAGTCGCTCGACCTTCTGTTAGAATAGATGATCCGATGTCACCACATGATCCTCCTGTTCCGCAAGTAGATCTGACCCTTTCTCATGATGATCCAATTACTCCGTGAGAGACCCACCCATCACTAAAGATGAGGATACTAATATGAATGAAGATGACATTAATAGAGCTGTCTTCCGCATGTTTCAGAGAGCTGCTAGAGTCCCTAGTAATATGACTGCAGTCGGGATTTCAAATTCTTTGGTAGCTGCTGGAGTAATTCTATTTGAGGGTATTACGGGTGGACGTCCGACTGATGTTGAGTATTGGTTGGAGGATACAGAGAGAGTTATGGATGAAATGGATCTGAGGTCTCAGCAGAACTTAAAGGGAGCTCTGGCTATGCTGAAGAAAGAGAGTTTTAGATGGTGGCAATCGATTTCTGGTAGTATTCTAAGAAACCAGTTAAAATGGGATCTTGTCAAGGCACGTTTTTGGAGTTGCTATATTGGGGAGAGATATCTGCAGGAGTGACGCCAGGAGTTTCAGAATCTGGAGCAGGGTAATATGTCTGTTATGGACTATAAGGTTAAGTTCATATGATTGAGCTGATATGCTCCTGGACTTGTTGACACTGAGATAGATCGATGCTTGAGGTTCGAGAATGAACTCAGGTATGAGATCAGGAGTTGAGTTACTACCCACAGGGAGAGGAATTTTGATGCCTTGGTTGAGATAGCCAAGACTGCTGAGGAAATAGAGTGATTAGGTATGGAGCGCAAGAGAGATAGTGATCGAGCTCAAAACCAATTCAGTAGGCCTTCTGGTTCTATTGATTATTCTGCACGCCCTAACAAGAGCAGCAGGTATAAGTTTTTTCAGAGAGGAGGTGCTAGTGCCAAGTTTATAGCAACGGGTTCGTCAGCTATGGCACCTCCTAGTCAGAGTGGGTCTTTTAGATTATAACCTATGCCGACATGTGTGCACTGTGGAATATGTCATTATGGTGAGTGCATGATGAAATTGGGGACATGCTTTAGATGTGGTTCCAATGACCATTTCTTGAAGGACTGTCTAGAGCAAGATCGTTCAATTCAAACGCCAACACATACTCCCGCTCATACTGAGGGTACTGCTCAGACTCTAATAGTGAGTCGTAGTTAGGGAAGAGCACCAGGATCAGTTAGTAGAGGCCGAGCATCTCAATGTAGGGGTCTAGTCAGATCTGAGGCCAGACAGCCTACATTGGTTTACACTGCTAGACTTCGACATGATCGCGATGGGCCTAATGTGATTTTAGGTACTATTACTATTCATTCAGTTTCCTACTTTGCATTGTTTGATAGTGGTTCTACCAATTCGTATGTATCACATTTTATTTTTGAGGGTCTGAATATTCCTGTTGAGAATACTGAGAATTAGGTGACAGTTTAAAGCCTTTTAGGCAAGTCCATAGTGTTGGATCATATTTTTAGAGAGTGTCCTATAGAGATCAATGGGGAAAGTTTTCTGGCCAAACTGATGGAGTTACCTTTGGAAGAGTTTGATTTGATTCTCGACATAGATTGGTTGGACGAACATCGAGTCAATCTCAATTGTGAGACCAAGAGAGTTGTTATGAAGAACCCAGATAACCGAAAGATTGTAATGATCGGGGAACGTCGTGGATTTCTGACAAATGTTGTGTCTGCTTTGGTAGCTGAGAAGATGATCAGGAAGGGTTCTAAGGCATTTCTTGCTTATATTTTGGACACTATGAGTTCTCAATCTGATATTGAAGGCATCCAGATTGTCAAGGAATTTCCTGATGTTTTCCCTGAGGAGTTGCCTTGATTACCGCTGGATAAAGAAGTTGAGTTTGAGATTGAAGTCTATTATGGTTCCACCCCGGTTTCAATGGCTCCTTATCGTATGGCCCCAAAAGAGCTTAAGGAACTGAAAGTCCAACTTCAGGAGTTGTTGGATAGGGGATTTATTCGACCCAATGTATCACCATGGAGAGCCACAGTTCTCTTTGTCAAGAAGAAAGATGGGACATTGAGACTCTGTATTGATTATAGAAAACTGAACAAGCTCATAGTTAAAAACAAATATCCTCTACCCAGGATCGATGATCTATTTGACCAATTTCTAGGGATTTTATCTTTTTAAAAATAGACTTGAGGTCTGGTTATTACCAACTTAAAGTGAAAGATTCTAATATTTCGAAGACTGTTTTTCATACTCGTTATGGGCATTATGAGTTTTTAGTGATGTCATTCGGGTTAACTAATGCCCCTGCTGCTTTTATGGATCTGATGCATCAGCTGTTTCGACCTTATTTGGACCAGTTTATATTTGTGTTCAGCGATAATATACTGGTGTATTCTAGAACTGAAGCAGAACATGAGGAGCATTTAAGTATTGTTCTACTGACTCTAAGGGAAAACAAGTTATACGCTAAGTTGAGCAAGTATGAGTTTGGCTCGGTGAAGTGACTTTTTTTGGATATATCGTTTCTGATGATGGTATTCAGGTGGATCCGAGCAAAGTGGAGGCTATTCTGAACTGGAAGCAACCCAAGAACGTCTTTGAGATCCGTAGTTTCTTAGGCTTAGCTGGTTAGTATATTTGTTTTATTGAGGGGTTCTCCCTTATTGCAGCTCCTCTAACGAAACTATTGAGGAATGATGTTCCATTTGTCTGGTCTGAGAACTAACAAGCTAGCTTTGAGAAACTAAAGACTGTTCTAACTCAAGCCCCAGTACTGATACAGCCTGAGTCTAGGAAAGATTTTTTTGTCTACAGTGATGCTTCTCACTCTTGATTAGGATGTGTTTTGATGCAAGATGGGAAGGTTGTTGCTTATGCATCACGAAATTTAAAGCTGCATGAGAGTAACTATCCTACTCACGATCTGGAATTAGCTGCCTTGGTTTTTACTTTAAAGATCTGGAGACACTACCTCTACGGAGAAAAATGTTATATCTATACCAATCATAAGAGTCTAAAGTATCTGCTTACTCAGAATGAAATGAATTTAAGACATCGTCACTGGTTGGAGCTTCTAAAGGACTATGATTTTGAGATAGAGTATCATCAAGGGAAGGTTAATGTAGTGGCCAACGCCTTGACCCGTAAGGCGATATCAGATCTCAGAGCCTGTTTGCTAACTTGAGTTTATTTGATGATAATAGTCTATTAGCAGAGTTGCAGGTTAAACCCATTTTGGCCAAGGAGATTAAGGCCAGACAGCTTCTTGATAGCTCATTGCTTCCCATTATTGAACAAGTTAAACAAAGATCGAGTTTAGACTATACTTTGGATCAGGATGATATTTTGTGCTTTCACGGTCGTTATTGCGTCCCTAAAGATGATGAGTTGAGACGGGTTATTCTTTGGGAGGCTCATAGTAGTCCTTATGCTATGCATCCTGGCGGGGACAAAATGTATAATAATCTCAAAGAGCGCTACTTTTGGGCTGGCATTAAAGAATATTTTAGATTTTGTGGCGAGATGTTTAACTTGTCGGCAGGTTAAGGCAGAGCACCACCATCCGTCTAGATTGTTACAGTCAATTAAGATTCCTGAGTGAAAATGGGAGTGTATTATGATGGACTTCGTTACTGGTCTTCCTCTGACTCATTCCAAAAAGGATTATATTTGCGTGATTGTTGATCGACTCACCAAGTCAGCTCACTTTATTCTTGTTCGGGTTAATTATTCTCTGGAAAAACTGGCTAGGTTGTACATTTCTGAGATCATAGACTTCATGGTGTTCCGTTGTCTATCATATATGACCGAGATCCGAGGTTCACTTCCAGGTTCTGGAAGGCCTTGCATGAGGCTCTGGGTATTCGTTTGAATTTCAGTACAACTTTTCATCCACAGACTGATAGTTAGTCTGAGTGAGTTATTCAGGTGTTGGAGGATATGTTACGGGGTTGTGTGATTGATTTCCGTGGTAGTTGGGAAGATTTCTTGTCATTAGATGAGTTTGCTTACAATAATAGTTATCAGGCAAGTATTCGCATGGCACCGTACGAGGCTCTGTATGGACGTAGATGTCGTACTCCTATATGTTGAACATAGTTACATGATAGAAAAACTTTGGGTCCATACTTGGTTTGAGAGACTGAAGATACTATCATATTGATCTGTGATCGTTTAAAAGAGGCATGAGATAGGCAGAAATCATACGTAGATAAGCGATGTAAGGATATCGAGTTTGAGGTTGGGGATCAAGTTTTTCTCAAGGTATCTCCATGGAAGAAAGCATTGAAATTTGGACGTAAAGGTAAACTGAGTTCGAGATTTATTGGGCGTATCATATTCTAAAGAAAGTCGGACCTGTTGCTAATCAGCTTGAGTTGCCTCCCCAGCTCATTCGTATTCATGATTTTTTTCATGTATCTATGTTGAGGCGATACCGTCCATATCCAGATCACATCATTCAGGTTGATGAGGTAGAGCTAAGACCTGATTTGTCATATGAGGAGGAGCCCGTTCAGATTTTAGAAAGGGATGAGCAAGGTCAAAGTTTAGTGAAGTAACCGTGGCCCTTTTAATTTATAAGGAAATATGATATAGAAAATAAATGTAATGTGTACTCATGTAATTGGAAAGGGACCATGGTTGAGATGGTAAATAGGATTTTTGAAATAATTTCTCCACGATAACTCTCAATCGATACCTGTCCTGAACACTATAAATAACCATACAACAGAAAATAAGGGTACATACATTTTCTCAAAAAAGACTAGACCAACAATATTATAACCAAGACCAATACTACAAGAATTGTCATCAGCACCACCATCTTCAGTTGTTGTGCACATTTCCAGTCAATATATATTTCTATATTTATTCTGCTACTGTAATGACACAATGTTGCACCGGCAAGGCAGTGTTTGAACCATGTTGGATTGATTCCTGGTGGATTGAATGTGGCTGTTCAGATAAGACTGTAACATTACTCTGCCTAAAAGATGCGGCCTTGCCCAATTCATTTACTGCTTCAGCAATTTTATCAACGCACTCTATGATTTCCAGCAGAGGTGATGTAACTGAAGCAGCCGGTATAATCTGTAGTAAATCTGCTTCTTCCCACAGGTTTGTTTTGAGCAGGCTTTTCAGATCCTCGGCAGCTTTCTTTGAACTTTCAATGTGTGTATTAGCCGAGCTTGTTCGAACCATGTTTAAAAATGTCGATGCCATTTCCCTCAAAGCTCGGCTACATTCCACGCTAACCCTTTTGCATGGCTCTTCGATTTTGCCACGGATTTCTGCAGGAGTCTACGAGAAATAAAACCACATTTGAATCAGTTGATGAAATATTTTTAAACTTGGTAAGTTATGGTATTTATTATACCTGGATTTTACAGTTAAGGTGGCTGTTAAGAGCTTCAACTTTGTAAGCACAGTCCCGAGTAAGGTTTCCGACTTTGAGGTACATTTTCCATGGATGACGATACCGGAACAGACCATGACCTGGTTCCCATCTCGCAAAATTAGCCTGCAGGGAGAGAATGAACATTGAAATATTGATTAAGTCACTTCACTTATGGTCAGCTTGTTTCACGAAAACTAGATTTCGAAAAATAATTTTTATAAAATGAAATACATTTCTTAGAAATTAATTTATGGGTATTTGGATGATGCTATGTAAATAATTTTTTATTGGTTAGTAAATTTTTTAGAAACTATTTATTATAAATATCAGATATAATAAATAATATTATTTACTAAAAAATAATGATATTATTATAATATAATTAAATATATTTTATAATACTGAATAGTTTATATTATTAAAATTATTAATAAATATATTTTACTAATGAATATTTTTATTAAAATGATACTAAAATAGTATATTAATATTAAATATATAAAATAATATTAGTTTGAATATTTATATTTTGAAGTGAAACGTTTGAAAAACAATCTATCAAACCGTAAGTCATTTTTCAAAAAATTAATTAGAGTGAAATAAATAGACCCTTAAATCAACTAATTATTTGGCTGATCGCTTACCATAGTTTCTTCGCTGCTTTTAGAAGTTAGAACACTTGTATATCCTTGAATATATGACTTATTATTCTCATTGGATTCTTCAGTGAAATATTCATCTCCAAAAGCTGTTTTGGGTACAATGAAATCTAAAACATTAGTCCATTCTTTAAACGTAAGGAGTATTATTAATCGTTACCTTGTAGAAAATTGCTTAGCTTTTCCATGTTTGCGGCGACAGATTTGTGGAGATCCTCACCGATCCAAACAGGGCAAAGGCACATACAAACAATAAGAGAAACGCAGCAACCAACTAATATGGCAAAAAACCTATCATGTGCCATTTCTAGCACTTGGTCATCTCGGTAACTCGATATGGATACTAAGCAGAAGGTCATTATGAATATCAACAGTCCGTAGTCATATCTTGCCTTCACTGTTGGGAAGAATCTCATAAATGTCGTAATCACAGCTGCAAAAGGAGACGACGATTAGGAGTGGGTATTTAATCGAGTCGAGTTAAAACCTTTTGAGTTATTCTAATTTATTGTTCGTGTTTTATGACTGGAATTTGACCTGAATTTTTTTCTAGTCGAGTCTAGTGTCAACAATTTCTAGAGTAGATGTTCAAAAGCTCCTAGTTAACACATCCTCTCTCCCCTAGGTTGTTAATTTTCATTATTAAATTGTATATATTAACACTAATAAACTGTTCCACTTCCCATAATTTCTAATTCAATAATTTTTAAATTTAAAAAAAAATTGAATCTCTTTAATTTTCGTCTTTCAAAATTCCAACAATCAATGCATCAAATCTCTTTCCAGATTTTCCATATCAATGAAAATTTTTATTAATGTTATTTTTTTCTCTTCAAAATTTAACGGGAAGAAAAAAACGTAAGTATAATTAGTCTACTTCTTTTATCTTCTATATTTCACAATTCCTCTGAAAAATTATTACTCACTTTTTAATTTTTCATATTTAAAATAAATACAGAGTCACAATTGTTTATATTAATTGTGGTGCTTAAATCATATTGAAGATTGTTCCTAAAATCTTAGGCAAGATCATGTTTCTAAATTCTTTCTTTTGACTTTTATATATTTCAAAATTCTAGGTAAGATTGTTCTTTTATTTCTCAGTGTTATGTTATGTATTGAGAAAAATATGTTCGAAAGTATTTGTATGCTCAAATATATTTTTGACATGTCTAAAATTGTAATAAATTATTACTTGTTTAATTTAATAAAAAATTAATAGAAATTTTATATTACATATATGTGATATTTATATATGTGATATTTTTATCGGGGGGAAAAAGGAATTTGTATATGTGATATTTTTACCTATAATGAACACAAAAGTTGCTACCAAGATGGGCTTCCCTTTCCTTCCAGAAAGAGTTGATAAACAGTGAACTCCAACGCCCAGGGCACCCGCTACCAACGTCGCCAATATCCTATTTAAACCTTTACCAAGTGTCGCACCTGCACAATTTTAAACAAAAACTATGAGATTAGCTTAAAGTTTCCAACAAGTTACAACGATGGAAAGTTAAAGCATTGATCCAAAAATATTTTCGAAGACGGACACCTTTAATAAAATATATATCTAATCGAAAGAAATTTAGATTACCAACGGAGAATTCAAAGACAAGAACAACAGTCAGTACAGCCCACATTGCACCCTCTTGCCCAAAACTATCATAGATTGGGTCAAAGTAGTAGAACAATGAAACAAGCGAAACAGCTAATCCAACTTTTAGGGAATGAACCATTCTCCTTGGATCATCTTGTCCCAGTTTCTTCGTCTTCCTTGCTATCTTCATTGTTTTGTCACAAAATTTGCTTGGAAATGCCTTAACCCATTGGCACCCAATAGTTGTGGCTCCGTGTGGAGATGTCACTGCTTCCATTTGATATATATATTTTTCAGAAATGAGGGACAACACTTGAGATCAAAAGAGTGAATCAACCAAGGGTATATATGGAGGGAATAACTCCAACTCTTCGACACTGTTGAAGAAGGCGAAGACCGACGATACCTAGTACAATGAATAATTGAGAAATGTGAACGAACACATGAAAAATCCAATGGGGTCAAATAAGGGTAGCCAGATAATATATACCATCAAGCAGAACCACGATGTGCGTATATATTAGTGGCAGATCTAAAATTAGAAAATGGGGTCCAAAATTTTACTATTTTATTTCTTAAGAAAAATGTAAATGTAAATTTCTTTATTTTTTTCATTGTCCTTAATATATGAAACTAGATTTAATAACTTTTTCAAAATAATAGATATACAATTAAATACCATAGAGCCATGTATATATATATAATTATTATAAACTTGAGGTCAATACCTATAACCTTGGTCAACCTAAAAGCTGCAAAGTCATTCATCTGATGCATATAAGAAATTATTATAAACTTTAAGTCAATATCTATAACCTTGGCCAACCTGAAAGCTGCAACGTCATGCATCTGATGTGTTTTTCATGAAAAAAATGTTCTTAGGTCAGTTGTAATTCCTTGTTGTGAATGCAAAGTACGGTTCCCATAAAAATTGTATGTTAAACGGCTAAGGCGTTGTTCGTCGACTGGGATTATGATAGCACATAGAATGCCATAGAATGCGGGGTTTTCCTTTTTTTTTCCTTTCAATGTTTTGGGCTTAGAAATGATAAAGCTAATGGGAATTGGGTGAACATGAAACATGATATAGTTTTAGGTGGCGAAATCTCAGAATTATTTGAACGTAAAACATGACAGAGTTTTAGGTAGCGAAATCTCAAAATGATGTGTCTAGAAGGTGGTGATGATTTCAAGTTATCTTCAGTATGAATTGATGTTGATTTGAAGTCGAATTGGATTTGGTTATTTTGGTTATTAACTCGACTGGCATCCGATCATAGAACGACATGAATCTGGGTTGAACATGAGATTAATATAGTAAATAACCGATATATCCCGACTTGAAACGATATGAGATCTAATTTTATTTGGCTTGTTATCAACCCGACGTGTAATTGACTCAACATGTAAATAGAGGGCCAAGTGCATCCCATTATTTTGGAAAATTTGTTAAATTTAGTTTAATATGTTAAGGAAAAATAATAAAAATAAATTTTTTTGCATACCCATTATTTTTTATAAAATAAAATTTTATATTATCGTTTTTAAATTTTTGGATCTGTCATTCCTTGTAAATGATCTAACTTATTGTTTAACTGATCTGATATTTATCAAACTGTATATTTAGCTAACTTGTAAGTCACATGATTAATTATAATTATTAGGTTAATAAGTTTACTTTATATATTTATAAATTATAATCTATAAATATATTCAAAGTTCAATTAAATTAGTAATTTTTGTCTGGTAAAAATATTAAAAAATAATTCTTCATCATTTAATGTATATTATTAATTATGATTATTAAATTAATAAATTTAATTATGATCCTTAGAACAATAAATTTGTTTTCTACAAGTGTAAATAACTGTAATCAATAAATCATTTATATTTTTAAAACTACTATTAATAATAATTTTAAAATATTAATTTTTTATTTAAATTAATTTTATTAAATGATTAATTTATTGATTATTAAATTTATTAAATTATAAATTAGATTATATAAAATAATTTTATAATATCAACAAGTTTATATCATTATTATAATGTAAAAATTAATTATTAATTCAAATATATTTTAAATTAAAATTTTAGGCGTAAAAATAAGTGCTCAAATTACACTCAAAGTTAATTTTAGGTGTCTAAAGAAATTTTTGTTAAATATAGGTGTCTTATATTTTGTCTGTTAAACTTTTAGATGCTTAATGTTTTCCGACGTTATATTTTTAGCTGCTTGGCCTACAAATACTGTTAAAAAATACAGTTATTTGACAGGTGTCAGGAATATAAACATTTATTTAAAAAGCACTTAAAATTAATTTTAAAACACTCAATATTTTTTGAAATTATAAAAAAATGTAAAATCATGAAAACTTCTAATTGCAATCACTTACCATCGTCTATCGCTACCAACGTCATCAATTGACCGAAAACCCGACGTCTTGTGACTGCTCGAACCCCCGTCATTCGAACTCCTGTTTCACATGATGATTGCAACAGAAAATCAATGATCACATCATGGATAACCGCTTTTAACTGATCGCAGAATATTGTATTTACATGACCGTTAGTTGTTCAGTCAATTGTGAAAATAAGGAGTTTCAATAATTGGGTGGTTGTCGGATCGAACAACGTTGGATGTTTGGTAAATTGATAATGTTGGTGGTGGTTGACGGTGCTAAAGGAATAAAAATTAAATTTTAAGAGATTTTTGGTTTAATGGTAATTTAATAAAATTTTGGGGTTTTAAAATAAATTTATAATTTAAATTTTTTATTTAAAAAAATAAAATTTTATAAACATGACATGTGTCACTTAACGGTCGTTACAGCCCAAACACCTAAAGGTGTAACGTTGGGAACGTTAGACAACAATTTAAAAAAAAATTACGCACCCGAGTATACTTTAAACATTTATTATTGCATTAAGTCAAAATTTTAATATATATATATATATTTTGCATAACTAATATTTTGATATAACAAAAAAGGGCAAAATGTTTATGGACTAAATTGAATTTATTCAAATTCATCAAAAATAATTCAAAGTCCAACCAATACCTTAAAATGAGTATTTTGACCAGAAGTTTTGAAACTTCTACAAGAGTTTCGAAACTATCTCGAGAGTTTCGAAAATTTTCCTAAAGTTTTGATACTTTGGCTCCAACGTCATATTTTTTGTAATACCCCAAAATCGGGAAAGTTTAGGGACCTAAATGGTAGTTGTCCCAAAAACAATTTTTATTCCATAAATATATAGTTTACTCTTGATAATGGAGTTTTATTGAAATTATATTCTTGATCCAGAATTTATGTTGAATTCTAGAAAGGGTTAAAGTCTAGTAAGAAATCAGTAAATCAGATCAAATAAAATTTTCAGGAAAAATTGAAGGATAATAAATTAGGCTTAAAAATATTATTCCCACATGTTAAAATGATGGAAAAATAGTATGGATAATTGGATTTGATGATTTATTTCCATGTTAAATTTGGACCGTTGGATCAAAGTGGCAAGATTGCAATTTTTGGAAGATTTATTGGTAAAATTGGAAAAAGGGTAAAATAATTTGTTCATCTTTGACTTCGAAAAGATGATAAGGTTTTATGTCTTGTTATTAAGGTAATTATCAAGTTTCATTAATGGCAAAATGGACATTTGTCATTAAATGAATAAAATATTCATTTAGCTTAATATAAGGTAAATTAACATGAAATTTACTAGAAATTTCATGAAAAGTTACCCATTTTCAGATCCCATGGCCGTGTATCATACTTGAAGTTAAGAGAAACTTTCTTTTTCATTTTTGAGCAATTTTCTTATGATTTTGAGTTATGCCATGAAATAGAAAATTGTTCTACGCAAAAACGCTATCTTTTGGTACAATTTATGCTTGCTAATCTTGCTTGATTTCAAAGATCCCAAAATTCTAGGGTTTATGTTCACATTAGGTTTTATGAAATTGATTATGAATCTTGATGTTTTTGTGGTTGTAGATTCATATTCAGGCTTGTATGATGATTAGAAAATGTTCAATCTTCCTAGAAAGTGTTCTTATAATTCGGCCAAATCATAACATGGTGAAACTTTATGTTTTGATGAAATTTTATTAGGGCATTGATTGTAGAGATTTGGTAAGATTGGATGGAAGTTGATTTCATGTTTGAATCAAATCAAAATCGAGCAAAATCATGAAAACCTTAGTTTTAGAAGTTGAAACTATCATCCATGGCTTGCATGGGTGAGAAAAATTATGGAAATTTTTTAAGGGTTGGAAATGATGTAGGAAGTATTCTACAAGCCTTATAAAAATTTAGGGATCATTTGGTAATTTTCAAAAAGTTAGAGGACTAATTTGAAAATTTTGGAAAAGTAGTGGGTTGTTGTGTAATTGTTCTATAATTGATATACTATGATGGAAATTGTTGTTTGGGAATTGGAACGAGTGTTAAAATGTGAAATTATATCATTTTGGAAGTTTGGAAAGTTTGGTGTTTTAAACGAAATATTCAAATAGTTTGGAGTGTTTATTTGTAATTATGCCTTTGTATATGTACTTGGGTTGTAATTATTTCAATGTTGGGATTTTGGTATTTAAACTTTGAGTGGTGAAATGGTCAAGGACCATTTTGTATAAGTTGGAAAAATTGGTGCCAAAATTAAAAAGGATTAATAAGTGTTAAAATATTTAGTGGTGAATAAGTTTCAAGTATAAATATGGATTACATGGAATTTGAATGGTCAATTGGAAGTTTTAAGGTCAACATTTATGTTGTGACATGGAAATTGTGTCGAATAAGCATCGGGAAATTTGTTAGGAATTTATTTTCCAAAGTATGCCTATGTTAGTAAGATTCTAACATTTGGTCTGAATTTGTGTATTTTTGGTAATGGTGTCCATTTAAAGATTGAGTGCTTGAAATCAAGTTCAAATATTATTAAAGCTAAGGAGAAGCTTAAGGATGAAATGTAAAATTCCAAGGAAGGTTGCAAGCTAAGGACACCAGGTGAGTGCAAATTTAATTTGTACTTATGTTATCGAACAAACATCGGCTTACGATGAGTCATTGACGGAGTTACTATGGTAAGGAGTAACTCCTAAAAGGTTATGTTATTTGTGATACATGTGTATATGTGCATTTGGTCAGATAATAAAATTAGTGAACAGGTTGAAAATAAAAAATGGTGAAA